TATATATATATATATATATATATATATATATATATATAGCGAAAATGCGGCCGAAATATCCACATACACGTATCTATGATACGATTATTTCAATCTTTCGCAGTTCATTGTACTCTTCCATCTTGATAGATATATCTTCATGATAAATATAAACGTCTCAAGCCTGAGATTCGTTAATATTACCATCTATTAACATAATGTTTCAATTAATTGTATTAAATAATTAACTATCGTATTACTGTCGTATAATGTCGTATCATGTGTCGTCGTTACGCACTATTCGCAATGTTACCGTCGTTAATCGTGAGATGTCGTAATCGTGTAATTACAACTAATAAATAATATTATTTAAATTATATAGAAGAAAAAAAATCTTTCTCTATGATACATGTATATTATAATATACGTATATATTTCAAAGTTTTTCAATTTGTCAACGTTTTAAACGGTAAATCTTATTTTAGGTGGTCATGATTACCAGATATCGATGTTGCGATATATTTTCTTTAATATTCTACCTCCTCCTTCGGGTAAGTGTAAAAAAGCGATTCGTCGAGAAAGAATCGTACAATTTTTCTTTTCTTTCTATCTACTCGTTAGTCGTGCATCTTTTTCTTTCGCTCTACTGGATTAGCATCTATTATTTCCACGAATAACACGAAGCGATTAAATAATTTTAAAGGGTCCCGATCACGTATACGTAAATGGGCATGGCCGCCTCATGGATCCGCCAGCAAGGAACAGCATGTGGCGCTTTGGATATCCGAATCCTGTAAATTATAACGACAATGAACTGTTTTGCGGCGGATATGCGGGTTCGTTTTTTCACGATAATCGTTCGACCATGAATAAAATGATGACTCGAATCGTGTAACGATATTAATCAAGTTTGAGAGAAACGTAACATCCTCGAATTATGCTTTCAAATTTTACTTTTTACGTTATTATATTATATTATTATTATTATTGTTGTTGTTGTTGTTGTTGTCGTTGTTTAGTTCAATGGGTGCAAAATAAGGGCCAGTGTGGCGTTTGCGGTGACGCATATCACTTGAAAGAGCCGAGACCGCACGAAGCGGGTGGCGAATATGCAAAAGGCACAATCGTTAGACATTACACGGTTGGACAGGTAATTTCACTTCTCGTTTCACCACCTAATCACCTAAACAATTGAATAAATTAGCATTCGATACGTTCGCTCGTGTTGTGACAAACACTCGTGACAATTATTCGATTGAAGGAAGTATCTTTCGGATATTCGGTAAAAAAAATAAATGTGGAATAAAATTTTTCCATTCGAATTTTCGATACGTATAGAAAATATAATTGCTCTATTCGTGAAAAAGTCAACATAACATACATATTAAACACGATCGTGATCTCGTTAACGTTATAAGTTTATGTCATTCGATAATCACATTCGAATATCACGAATCATTTTTGAACTATCTTCTTCGCGATATCCTTCGAGAATTCGATTCGATAATTTTTTTAAGAACTCTCTGCGTTGAAATTATCCTTTTTCGATTTATCAATTTTTCTTTTTTTTTTTCCCTCCGATTTTTCTTACTCTTTTACGTGCATCGATATCGTTCGAATTTACAGGATATCGACGTCGAGATTGAGCTTACGGCGAATCATTTAGGCAGATTCGAAATGTACCTTTGTCCGAATAACAATCCAAGAAACGTGGCGACTCAAGAATGCTTCGATAGGTAATTTTTTTTTTTTTTCACGATACAACGAGAAATGTCGATTATTCGAATCCAGGAATTCAGGAAAGTATATATTCGTTTTGCTTTTCCGATCGTTCTGCACTTCAAAAAATGGATATTATAAGTGGTTAAATGATAATGCGAAATAGATTTTTTTCAACGTTGTCAAATTTCGAATCTCTTCTAAAATGAATCAGTCGAAGATATAAATACTTGGATTCATTTCTTTTTATTTCTCTTCTCTTCGCGTTAATCGCAATTTGGTCAATGCTGTGAAATTCTAATATTCTATTAATCATGTATTAATCATTTCGACGAAATCGACGTGGATTTTCCAACGCGATATATATCCTATCGTTAAATTTCATATATTTTACCAACCTTTTCGAATATTCGTTCGATATCTGTTTATTCGCTGTATAATAGAATACTCGACGTTTCATCGAATAACGTAATAATTAAGTAGACAAGAATGTACACGTATTATTGAATTACGAATTATTAAATTTTTGTTTCTCAAGGTATCCATTGTACATATCCGGAACACGGGATGTTCGATTCGAGATACCCGAAGATAGCGAAAGAAAAGCTATATTTCGATACAAGGTAACTTTACCCGCCTACGTCACCTGTACACAATGTGTCGTTCAATGGAATTATTACACTGGTTCGTATTTTTACAGCCGCTTACGTTAGCTTTGGTCGTAGGCACGAAAAGAGAAATAATTATCGTAATTGGCAAAGGTTCAAACGCGATTTACTCTTACTTTACGATTAGGCGTATATACTTTTTCCATATTTTATTTGTTGTTATATATAATGCGTGTATATATCATCAGGTAATATGTGGGGTACTTGCGAAAATGGAACCGAAGCGAATGGATGTGGAAGACCAGAGACGTTTAGAAATTGCGCCGACGTGAGCATCATTACCAGTACAGCTGGGGTACCACCCCTCTTCGTACAACAAGACAATCCCTTTTTGCTCTATTACAAAGATTATCGTTCTCCCAATAATATATTTCCACTCGTCGTCAGGTAAGCATCTGTTATATCAGTTTATCGTGCTTGACGATCAGCTAAGGTATAATTGGGAAAAGAGGAAAAAAAGGGAAGAATTAACACGTAACGTTAATATAAGGTAATAAAAAATTTCGATCAAATAGAATAGAAAAATTTCACTAATAACAAGATAAGAGTCGAATATCGCTACAAGGGAGAATAAATGAAAGATATAGAATACAATTTTTTTCAACGCTTCGAGAATTTTCCAGATTAAATACGCGTAAATACGATTTAAATTTTCTCGAAAACGAAAAATAATCGTATGTCGTATTCCGTTTAGAATAACCAATAATTCCAATTTCCAATTCCTCGTTTATATTCGTTATTTGTAATACAGATCTTTTAAAATAAGCAACGATTTACCTCCCCTTTTTCACAACGCGTTAAAAAAGTAAATCTGATATTCCTCGTTCCAGATCTCAAGTGTGTGTACCCACCCCTCTTTATCGGCGTATTCCAGGAATGAACGATTGGTGTCAAACCAATTGTCTTCGCTATCCACCAAATTGTCCGCCAACTATATGCCAATGCCCGTAAGTATTCTACCGATTAATATTAATCGTGTTTCTTATTTTATCATTTTCGAAAGCGAAACAATCTTCTTCGTTAATATTCGTTCGTTTCGTTCTGTTGAATCTACTTACTTAATAATCCGTAGATACGTGTATTTTCACGTTGCGTATTTCTAATCGTTTTAATAAGAATATTTAATAAGCAAAAAAGGATTTCATTTCCAACGAAAAATAAAGAAATATTCGTTTGTGTGTTTCCAACAGGGAAGTGTGCGATGCGATCGGAGATATCGGTGGAAAAGACGGTGCGAGTGTTTATTGCATGGACAAGTGCCTCGTTTATCCACCCAATTGTCCATCTCAACGTTGTCGTTGTTATTGAAGAAATTTCAATAATTATGTACGCGTCATATCGATTGCGAGCAATTTATCCTGCATTCAACAACAAAATTTCTCTTTTTCGATAAGCGTAAGCGAGAATAAAAAATGAAGCAAACGTTATTCAACATTGTGATTTGTCTGTGAATTCTTATCGGAAATAAGAACGTTCGTACGTTCGTTGTCAATAATTTTTTCAAGTTTTTTTCGATAAATATGCGACCGAGAACCATCGTTCCATGGAACAATTTCCGTATATTCGTGATAGTTGGGTAGAGTTGGGCATTAATCCATTGAAAAAAAAAAAAGTAACTAAGTTAAACTAATTTTATTCGATGTTTCGAACAATAAATTATTGAAGTAATTTTATTCTTTGTTCTTAATTTCGTCCATCTATAACTTTAAAATAAGTAGACATACGATACGATACGATGTAACAACAAATCGATAAGTTGAAAATGGAACGAATTTGAAAATTGAACGTATAAATTTTAGATAGGTAGGTATATCTGTTTGAGATATAGAATGGTATAGAATATGGATATAGAATCGTATAAAACTGCCAACATACATACCGTACGTATCGTGGAATCGTTCGAAACTCGAACACGAACGATTTTCCAATAGCGGATGGTCGATTTATCCGAAAACATAATGGACGATAATAACTCGTCACATGACAAGTGTTTTGTAACGTCGATTCGAAATATCGACATTACAAATGTATGCGTCGCGTTTAACCGTGTCGATATATTAAGGGTCGATGCACGATCGATTGCCAATTTTCTCGAAATCGCATCGATTGATCTAGTATATAATACTAGATTAAATTAAACGGTTTATATAATATTAAAGAAAGAAGAAAACACGTGCGTGTATTTTTCTTTTTACTCTGCTCGTCGAACGTATCTATTATCGTTACATCGATTCGTAATTGTAAAGATTAATCGTATCTGTGACGAGCGTGTATCATTTTTTTATATTACGATCGAATCGAATTAAGGTAAAGAGGTAAGGAAAAAGATATATATATATATATATACACACACGTATGTATGTATCGAAAGAAAGAAAACACTCGATTTAATCTCGCTATAATATATTTAATATTGGGACATTCTATCGACAGCTTAAAATAATACGCATGTATCACATATTTTATAACATTCTTTCTGCTTTTACGTATACGTGTGCGTGTGCATGTGTACGCATACATACCTACATACGCGTAAATGCAGCTACATTTAACGAAACGATTCGGTTCAATTCAATTACGCATTGTAAAATACGTCCAATGCAACAATTCCCTCGATATACAAGCGCATTGTTTCGCGTCGCGTCGCATCGCGTCGCTTCGATTCAATTTCGATAGTTTATATCGGCCTTGGCCAACGTCGGTTGTCGACGACCGTAGTACGTCTTTTCTCCCTTCGTTTAAGTCTCTATACATCTCTTTATTACTTTACAAAACTATATACACCAAAGCCTTTTTTTTTTTTTATTTATTTATATTTCTATAACACGTTTCCAAATGTGGTATAACACGTTTTATCCGTTTTTTCATTCTTTTGCATATATTTGTAATATACGTGGTGGTAATTAAATAATCAGTTTTTATTCAGTGAACGACAGTACGTTCAACGCGTTAATACAGTTTTAAAATATATATATATATATAAGTTGCGATAGATAGTATCGCGAGTCATTAGCGCAATTACAACTTATCTAATACAAAGGTGATTACTTTGCTTTCTCCTTCAATTCGAATTTTTTTACACTCTAATATCGTTTAAGCATCTATTTAACGTTCATAACTGATTTAGAATACGTAACGAAGAGATCCGTATATTTGGATTCTATTTTATACATTTTTTTTCTTTTTTTTTTCTTCCTTCCTTCCTTCCTTCCTTCCTTCCTTCCTTTTAAATAGTCCGATTCATCTTTTCGATTTAATCTTAATCTTTAAAACTGTTGCTATTAATCGATTCAATTTTGCATTAATTCCTGGTACGTAATAAACGTAACGATACAACACGTATCCTCCTTCCGTCGTACGAATCTTTGTGCCCGAATTACAGAAAACAATTGGAAAGGATATAATATCTTCAATTTTTTTTTCTCCCCGCGTATACGCGACAATATTAATTCCGGTAATCAAATACCGATTACCGTATCGACGCTAGTAAAAGTAAAAAGAGACAAAGAAAACAAAGCAAATAAGCGATGATTTTAGGACACGTTTCGAACGAATACGAACTTCTCCTTTCATTCTTTTCGTACGAACGCAATCTCATCATTTCGTTTACAATTTTCATCTTTCATTTCATTTTTTTTTCCCCTCCCCATTGATCGATCCGTGTAAAAACACTTATCTTCCAATTAAATCGAACCATCTTCTTTTGACGATAAGAAAAAAAAAAAAAAAAAAAAAAAAAAGCAGCAGAAATGTTCTCGAATAAGACGATGTTGTCGATGAGACGAGAACCTCTACGCTATCTCTTTCTCGATTACTAGTACAGTAATTCGCTAGATATACACTTTTTTTTTTTTTTAAACATATATATATATATATATATATATATATAT